ATGATCCTTCTAGAATATCATGACGTGTTACTAGCGTCACGTGACTTCCGCTGTTGTAACAATACATTTCTTTTGGCCTTCCATGTTTTTTAATATTTTCAACACAAATATTTTAACTGAAGAAAGATTGTAGAAAATAAAAGTAGGAATTTTTGGTTAAAACCTTACCATTTCTTTAATATGAATAACAGTTTAATTATATCATCTATAAAATACAAATTATAATTTATCCCTTTGGATGCTATAATCAGATTTATCCAACTTAACATTTGTATCCACTTGGTGCGACAAGAGGATTTACCCTGAGGTGTCACAAAAATAACACCTGAAAACTATACTGCTATTTAACCCTTATATTATCGACTTATTTTTATACCATTCACTAAGGTGGGGTCCATTTATTGCATCGTATTGAATAATTTTAGACTTTTGGTTGCCCTACCACTTATTGTAATTAACTGTCCAGAAACATTGGTTGAAATCACTCTTTTCTTTGCTAAATACCCAAGGAAGTCCAACTGTACTTATTGGTATTGATTGCAATATTGATGGCACTTTTTTTTTTGTGAGATTCATATGTTATTAGGGTCTGTGTCACCAACATTGTCACGAATCCACAAGCAACTTAGTGCCTAAATAGTTTAGAAAAATATGCTTAAAACCCTGATGAGATCCACATGGATTCCATCAGTAATTCTAGGGTTAACACTGTACTTCTCAAAAGTGTAATTACTGGTTTGTTTTTTGTGAAGCACAAAGCTACACAGTGAGTTATCTGTGCTCTGCCCACCACGGGTATCAAAACCCAATTTTTAGCGTAATAAGCCTGCAGACTTACAGCCGTACTTTGTTATTTATACACATACGCACAACATAAAGTTCTCTTATTTCTTTACTATACCTTTACTTTCTCTCCATCCACCTGTACAGTCTTGATGAGGAAGTCAACACCGATTGTAGCTCCTTGCCCAGGAGGGAAAAGACCCTGTACAGATAAGTATAAGTAAATAATGACACAGAAACTTTTATCATGTAGGTTCTTGTGTATCTAGAACAGTTGCATCATTCTAACGTAAATTTAGCTGAAGTACACTACTATGGTCAGATAATACTAGTAGTTGCCTTCGTAGCACACAACCTTTATAAATTAAGTAAAACTAACACGCGAATGCTAAATTTATTTTCAAAGGCCAAAATCTGGAATTTTCTTAATCCTTAATTTTTGCGAGTTTACCAAATTTTAATTCACAGATTCCCACGTGATTGTTTCAGGTCTATTTAATTTTATATTTCATTGACAAAACTATTTAATTTTTTTTTAATTTCACATTCAGGTTGATACAGTAAATTATTTTTTCCTGTTCTGTGTATAAAATGTTTAAAGTGTTTGAGAAGTTATATAAGGAAACAAATAAACAATTTATAAGTGAATTGTTTCAATAGCATTTGGATGAATAGATTGACTTGTTTTATTTCATTGTCGAAGTTTAAATGAAATTTTCATATAAATGTGGTCATAAATTCACACGACTGTATAATCTGGTGACCCTGTGTAAAAAATCTTACAGATTTTCTAACATAATTATTTTCATGTTAATTTTTCTTTGTGCATTATTATTTTAATATCTAATTTAGAGGCTTTCGGAAAGTTTCTTGCACGTAACTACTGCAGAGTTATCAAATCATCGAAAACTAACACACAATTAAAACTCTTTGTGAAGTTTTGTTTTTTTAACTATGGAAGGAAAAACAAAGCTACTTTTACTCCTTCTGACACAACAGTCATAATCACTATAGGAATCGGATTAAAACATTTTAATATTTTCAGATGACCCTTAGTCAACTGGTCATTAATAAATATCACTAAAAAGTTTAAACATCAAGAAGTGTTTTTTCAGAATTTTTCAGTCTATTAAATAAAACAAAATAGAGTCAGTTACCAACAACAAAAAAACAAAACATGACTTATCAAAATCCTGTAAGGCAATGATGCAATCTAGTAGTCTGGAAAGGGAAAAGGATAAAAACCACATCCAGTTAGTTAATTTATAAGGGAAAACTTAAAAAAACAAAAAACATCAAGTGAAAGCACAAAAATAAAACCATCATTCTGTTTTACGTACTAATGAAAAAGATTTGGCAATAAAAAATCATTAGTAAAATGTTTTATAAAAAAAAGAGCAACTCGTTAGTTTCTCATGTTTTAGGAGACTATTAGGGGAGAGGGTATTATTTGGTGACAGATGTAGTACGAGGAATTCAGGTGTTGAAGGTACAGTATGCCTATAAGCATCCTCTGGTTATATTCCCCAAGAGTTTTTTTTACAAGTATGTCTAAAATAGTACAGTTTTAAGGGTAGAAGCTTTATCACACCAAAGTTATCATCTGGAAATAAAACCCTCAAGTGTGTAAAACATCCAGGCATGAACACCTTCCATGTAGAATCGGACACCATAAAACCAAAACTCATATTAGGTGCCATTTAACTTACCTGCGTGAACCGACGTACTATACAAGTTTTCCCAACTCCTGCATTTCCTATCAGAACCACCTTGAAAAGAAATTTGTAGTCTTCCATGACTGTCAAAATACAATTAAAGGTCTTGTTAGTTTACAGGAAAAACTCAAATACAAACATAAGGCTTAAAAATGTTCATATATTTATTTTTTTTTTTTTTTAATTTTAAGAAATTTCATAGATGATCCAACTTCATTAATTTGAGATTTTGGACAATTAATTAACAAAGTTTCTTTAATATGATGACCGCTTTTCTTATTACTTTTGGCCATAATCTCGAAATTAGCATTCTTTATTTCTACATTGCAAAAAGTTAAAAAAAATAAAAAAAACTACTTGTATTTATGGCACAGCTACTAAAGCTACTTACTGCCATACCTAATTGTGAGCTACTGACCAGGGGGCAGGCAGCCAGTCAGTAGTACCCTACCATCGACACTAACAAATTGACTGTCACTCTTATAATGCACCCATATTTTATGGTATTAGATGGGTTTGAACCTAGCTCATCAGCTCTCAAATCTAGGGCTTTACCATAGGGCAAACCCATGGCTAAAATTAAAAAACTATTTATGGGTGAGCAATAAAAATTGTCCAAAGGTGGACTTTCAGTAAAATTAGCAGTAAAGCAAATAAAATTGTACGTACTGAAAAAGAAAAATTTTGCTCACCAAAAGCTTTTTTTGTCTCTTTTAAACAATATTACCTTATTTTTCATAATTTTATGAGTGTTTATTTATTTTTCCTTGACAAGTCTTACTACACAGCATATGTTTCTACTTCCTTAAGAAGACTTGATAAGCTGGAGCCAAAGTGAAAGTTAGAGGTGCTCAAAACTGAATATAGAGACATTCTATGAGGCTAGTTAAGCTCTGAATAGATATATTTCATAGTAACACCCTCTAACATATCATAACTATATTTTTAAAACCTAAATACAAATTTGAGAATTTGACAAAATGTGGAAATTAAATAATAGGGTGAACACCTGCCAAGTTTTATATATGCATATATATATATTTATATAAAAAAAACTTGGCGATTGTTCTCCCTATTATTTAATTTTGATATCTTTGTCCCCTATGCAGTTTTAATTTATGCTTAGTTTGACAAAATGTAGTCTGTTTCTCAGAAAATTAATTTACTAAGTGGAATAATGCAGTAGCTTGTGGTAAAACTCAAGGTTCTTACAAGTTTTTTTCTTTTTTTAAAATTTAAACAATAGGCTTAATAGTTTCAATTAATCTTTAGTGATTAAGGTCAAAGATACACCAGTGTTTTTGTCACCAGCCTAGTTCTCCTTATTCTATACAAACTACGAGTGGAATATAGACAGGAAGGAATACAGGATAAAACATTATTATTATCAAGCTTCTTTCATAGCAAATAATGTAAGTATGCCCATGATTTTATGGTTATATTGTACATTTCACATTTTGGAGTTTCTTTTGGAGCTTTTTTTTCTAAGATAATCTTAAAAGAATTTCTATAGCCTTCAATATCCTGAAACCTAAGAAATTTCAACATCTTCATTTTGGAGTACAAGTTTTAGTATCATTTAGAATGCTCTCTGCTGTGAATAGCCAATGGTAAAGCAAGGATGGAGCCCTCTCCATACAGTAGAAATTTCTATATTTTTTTCAAGATATTCACAGAAATGCCAATATTAAAAAAAAAGAAAGGGTAGCTCAAAATGTCTACAAAATTCTGAAAACTATCACACTGTAGTATATAAGATAAGCCTGAAAACTATTATACTGTAGTATATAAAATAAGCCTGAAAACTATTATACTGTACTATATAAGATAAGCCTGAAAACTGTTACACTGTAGTATATAAGATAAGCCTGAAAACTATTACACTGTAGTATATAAGATAAGCCTGAAAACTATTACACTGTAGTATATAAGATAAGCCTGAAAACTATTATACTGTAGTATACATATGTCCACCACATGTACCAAAACTCAGTTTATAGCATTATAAGTCGTCAGATTTACCACTGTGCCATTTGTGAGCTATAACTGAAAAATATTATTGCCTTGGAAAGACCTTGTGGAACTCAAAATATTGCTCTTCTTGGAATAATGAGAAGCTTGGAAACTTCCAGAAATTTGAGTATAAGACCATGTTTCATTCTGTCACGGAAAAAACACCTTACAAAATATCTATCAGACTTTCCTCAGATTTTTGTCAATGAAAGACACAAGCGGTACCAGTATGACCCAAGCTGTTTTGAATCAACTAGAGGAAATAGCACTTACACTGAAAGACTTATGAAACCATGGGTGGGATAACAGAACAAAAAAGTCAAGAAGAGTGGTCAGTCTTCAAAAAGGAATTAGAGATTTAATCCAAAACTTTCTTTATACTATGTAATGTACAACATGATCAACATATCGAATAATGCAACCAACTGTCACACAAAGGAAATGACACTCTTTTACTTGATTCAAAGCACGTATATATACTAGACGTACTTCTGCAGGGTCCCCGAAAGGGTTATTTCAAGAGTAAATAAAACAAAAATTAATAGTAACAAATATTTTTATTTCTTGCTTTTGAAGTTCACATGTTATGCTGTTTTGTAGCCTACAGAGTGCATAATTATTCTCCTCATTCATGACATGCACACGATAGTACAAATTGCAATATTAAACATCCCTTTTGTGACATTATTTTTGTGTCTACTGACTGATTGACAGACAACACACTACTGTATAGTGGTACATGTGGTTAAGACATTTCTGCTTCAACTCATTACAGAGAAGTACTGCTATATTTTTCCCAGTTAACTTAGCAGTCTTGAATTACAAGCAATGGGAAAGTGGAGCTGATGATGTTTGTGCACTCTGATAACAGCTGGGAAAGATCTACAATGTGTTGGTTGGTTTCCACTGCTGAAGACAACGCTCTTACAACTGCTGCCAAGTTACTAAGTTTCAGATTTGTGGCACGAAATGACTTGCTTTACAAGATCAACCTTGTCAGTAAGCAGTTGTAAGTGTTGTCTTGACAGGTTGAGCTACTCCACAGTTACATAAACAAAATCTCATTCGTCATTCACCCCCTACATGACTGACGAAGGTTTTCCAAAGGAATTGGTAAAAGTAAGGGAGTTTCCAGAAGAAATGAAAATCATTGGCATTTTTTCAAAACAACCAGGTCTTTAATGAAAGAAAAAAAAAAGATGCTACAGTTTTCAAAAGCTGATGAACCTATCCTCGATCATTAAAAATATGGTCATTTTCTTTAACAAAATTGTCAAAACATCCGTTGAATTCATGGATGAGAGGTTCCAGCAACAGGAACGGATTGTTCAGTTTTAAAAATTATGACTTCGTCTATCACCACTAATTTGAAAAAAGCTTTGTATGGCATGCTCTGCCACAGTATCAAAATAGATGTATAATACTAATATTAAATATTTTAATAATTATAACAGAGGTTTTTGCCATTGTTTACTATACTGAGATATCACATTTGTTCAGAAATGATTTGCTTTGCTACAATTATTACAAATTCCATTTCATATCTAAGGGATGACAGTTGGTCCATCTAGGCTCTCCAATTTTCTACTAAAAAGCTACACTAAATCATATACGGAAACTCCTTTTCCCGCTATCCAACATGGATTCCTGAAATACTCACCCAATCTACCCTTCAATGTTGCAGTTTCTACCTCATGGGAAACTCTTCAATAGATGGGCCCACCCTATAAGAAAGTAATGCTGCCTTAACTGTAGATATATGTTAAACTTGCATCTTTTAGTCTTACTATCTGGAGAGCTTATGAACTCCTCATCTGGATGTAGAGATTCCAATCATCCAGTTTTTAGGTACTTTTAGACTCCTCTAAGTCTTCCATTCAAGTAAGTCTGTTTAAATTTGCTGAATTTGTAATCCCTTCCCCTAATTTTTTACTTGATCTACCTTTGTAAACCATTTACGCAGCTTCTATTAGTATTCAAGGGGATAGATGGATGTTCTTGGGTTTTAAGAAGATTAAAATGTAGAAATCAGTTTTTTTTTTAGAAGCATTTATTCTAATTATTTCCAACATTACTTAATAACCACTCAAACAGTGCCACCTACAAATCATATATATATGCATTCAATGATGGAAATGGG